AAAAAAGGAAACCAATTACTCATAGAAGAATAAATTAATTAAAAGAAAAACATTTTAAGCAGAAAGAAAACCTGTAAATAGATCAAGGTCTGATTTTTGATCTCTAGGCATGTCCTTCAGCCAGGACCGATGGGGTGCCATGATTTTTTATGCTTTTAAAGTTAAAACTGTACATATATGTTTTTACTCTGCATTTAAATAAATATTATGAAAGAAGCATGGACATATGGAATATGAATATATAAGCACGTATTTTTTATATTTCTGAGGGGTATATCGTTCACAGTATTCATAGAATAGTCATTCTGTTGTATTTCCTACTTTTTTTTAATATTAGAGAATGCCTGCTGGATGCCATTAGATTTGAAATAAATCATTGGGGCTTGTAACACTTGCACACCCTTGTATTCTTCATAACATTGTAGATTTTTCTTCACTGTCTTCTAGTATAGAATGCTACTGACATAAAATCTAACATTAACCTTATAGGTTTTTTTTCTTTCAGTCTAGTACATGATTTGCTATTTTAGCCTGTTCTTTTTGTAAAGTCTTTAACTTGGAAAAGCATTCATCACTTGAAAAGAACATGTCTAGGTGTTGGGTACTCTCTCTCACATGCTCCAGTGACTTACTGAGTGCATTCTTCCAATTTTGGGAAATTTTCTTGATGAAATACTTTTATATAAATGTTTGATTCTCCAACTCAGGATTATTAAAGATCTTTATGTTGGACCATCTCTATCTATTTTTCATATTCATTATCTTTTCTCCAAGTGTTCCTTTTTCTATTGCATCAAATATTTTTGGTTGTTATTAATTTGACTTTTAGTGCATGTTTGCACCTTTTCTAACCAATGAAGTTTTGATGGTACTGTTGCAATCGTATCCTTAAAAATGCAACCTCCTAATTTATTGTATTGTATTGTTTTGTTTTGATCTCCTCATTGAGCTATTTTGCTTTTTTAAAACTTATGTTCTTATTTTACAGTATGAAACATTTTTTGAAATACTTCCTAGGATGCTTTGAAATGTATTCTTCTTGACTAAATATTTTATCTATCTTTTGTTTGGCACTCTTCTTTCTTTTACTCTTCCAGTATGTTTGCCTACCTGCTTTTCCATTCCTTTTCATTCTCTCCGGGCTTGTGCAGCTCTGTACAGACCATTTGTTTATTCCTTTCAGTTATCATCATTAATTGCTGCCAACTGGGCTATGATACGTGGCAGACATTTATAAGACAACGAAACAGGAGCTGGTACTTCTCCATCTCCATATGTTTGATGTGTTTTTAATTCATTGTTCAGTTTACAGTGTCAATCTGTAATATGGAGTATTCCCTTCCTATCCCTTGATCCTCTACTTTAATAAATATGATGTTATTTTCTAGTGATTAGGTTTTCCTTTTTTTTAAATTGGGGGCTCATACAGCTCTTTTCACAATCCATACATACATCCATTGTGTCAAGCACATTTGTTGCCATAATCATTCTCAAAACATTTGCTTTCTACTTGAGCCCTTGGTATCAGCTCCTTATTTTTCCCCTCCCTCCCACACTCTCTTTTCATCACGAACCCTTGATAATTTATAAATCATTATTTTGTCAAGTCTTACACTGTCTGATATCTCCCTTCACCCACTTTTCTGTTGTCCCTTCCTGAGTGAGGGGGTTATATGTAGATCCTTGTAATTGGTTCCCCCTTTCTACCCCATGTTTCCTCCACCCTCCCAGATCGCCACTCTCACCACTGGGCCTGGGGGTTCATCTGTCCTGAATTCCCTGTGTTTCCAGTTCCTATCTGTAGAGATTGGTCTTTCCTGATGGTGTGTATACAGAGCAAGCCAGGTCATATCCAGCATCTCAATTCTAAAGCACGTTTTGTTTACATTTCTTCTAAGATCAATGTGTTTGTTCTAGTGGCAGTCCATACTCTAGAGTCTTCCCCAGCATGACAATTTGAATACATCAGTTACTCTTTTATCTTTCTTTTCCACTATTCAGATACAACACATATAGGACATTATTATACTGATAGATCATGGCTCAGCTGAGACATATCTTAGTAATAAAAGTTCCATTATACCTTTGCTCTTCAACGTTAGAGACATTTTTTTCCGATTCCCCCATACAGCATGCCATTTGATTTTTTTGCCCGCTGCTTCCAAAGACGTTGATTGTTGTAGAATTAATATCTATTAATTCATCAACTAATTCTACTCAAGTAAAATTAATTTCGGACAACTTCCATTTCTTCACTTATCGTGATATTATTTATTGGTCTACACATGAGGATTTTTGACAGAATACAGAGGTAAAAATAAGGGAATGGGAAACTTCATTACAGAGATTTGGAATTATAATTAACACATATATACTCCACAAATACACACATACATCTAATGACGGGGTCTGGAACCAAGAAATCCTCAACAAGAAATAACAGGAAGTATACATAGCATCCATACCTAGGTTTTACACCATTGTCTGTGGAAAGGAACCAGAATTTTTTAAAGTGATCTAATTCTGTGGTGGAGACAGGGGAAATACAAGATGAACCAGAAACACTTTTCTTTGTGCCCAAACATAAAAGTAGTTCAAGTAAATCAATGTTCAATAAGAAATGTTATGTTTATATTATCTGATTGTTCCTCCCCCCACATACACACATGCACAAACTTACAAAATTACCAAGAAATAAAGGAGATTGATAGTGATAGTTCATAGAAGCCACCTAAATCAAAATAAATATCATCAATAATTAAAAAATCGAAGGCCTATACCACCTACTAAGATACAATATATAGCACACACACACTAACCACCATCTTTTCCATGCCAATTCATCGCACCCTACAGGAGAGGGTAGAACTGCCTTTGAGTTTCTGAGATCATAACTCTTTATGGGAGTAGAAAACCCAGTCTTTTCTTTTTCCCACCAGCTGATAGTTGAACTGCTGCTCTTTAGGACTGCAGCCCAACTCGTAACCACTATGCCACCAGGGCTACCATGAAGACCACAGTAGTACTGAAGCAAATTATTTGTACCAAAGCGGGCAAGATGGTAGAAGGATTTAAGAGATCTGTGGAATTAATATATTCTGGCTGATTTAGGAGTCCTTTGGAAGGTGATTAAAACAAACAAAAAACTAAACAGCAACTTTCATAGAAAATCTCATTAAAATATTGTTTATAGACCAAAACTTTCACCCCACCTTTGGAACACAAGCAGATAGCAACCACCAGGAGCCTTATCCCCCTGTTCCTGAGACCTGGCTGCTCAGAGAATCCTAAATGGAAGGAGACATTACCAAACAAACCCTTGCAATTTTCAAAGGAGTCAAAATAAAGAAAATTCAAGAAAGACTTGGCAAGTGTTTCAAATTGTCAGTTTGATTTTCATCTGGACCTTTTGCTCATAAAAGATCACAACAGGATAAATGGCGAAGTGAGTCCCTAGAATTAAATGTTAGGACTGGATCAATATTAATCTCATAATTTTGATGGTTTTATTGTAGTTTTATATTAAGAGTGATCTTGTTATAAGAAATATAAACGCTCTTTTTTTGAAGTGATAAGATTTGTTTGCATAACCTTAAGTGGTTGAGAAAAATATCTTTATCGCATTTTTTTCCATTTTTTTGGTAAATTTCAGACTATTGTAAAATAAGTCTCTAAATGCATACTTACCTATTCCTTTCTTTTTACAGGTGATGATCTTTTGAGTCGTCCTGTGTTCAGCCAGGAGCCCGAAGATGTCATTTTCCCTTTGGACTCATCCCACTTGGAAATAACTCTGAAGTGTGCTGCGCACGGTTACCCTTTACCCCACTACAGGTAAGGTCCTCCCACTGCTCCCTTTCTTGTCCCTGAGCTAGAGCATCCATACTGTGAAGAGCTTACACGTCATGGTTTTAAACATATCGGTGAATGAATGTTCTCATAGTAAGGTGTCCTGGTGCTCTTTCCAGGAAACGGTAGACTACTAAGGTCAACAGGTAAACCCACCAGCTGTCCCACGTGAGAAAGTTCAGGCGATCTGCTCCCGTACGTATTTAAAACCTCAGAAACCCTACGCAGGACAGCTGAATAGACTCCATGAACTCAATGGCAGTGGTTTTAGTGTGCGTCTATGAAGCTGTGTGCCCCATATGGAAATGACGATATGAACAGGTCTTCAAAGTGTGCCTGCCCTATTACTGCTTTCCAGGTAAATAGTCCTGGCCTCCCTCTCTACCTAAACACTGCTATGATTTTTGGGGGGCGGATTATTTTACTTATTGCTGTGAGTACCACTGAGCCCATTACGACACATAGCAACCTTGGGTACACCACCCTTCCCCTCAATTGTTCTTAGGTTTGAGCCCAATTTTGCAACCACCTGCCAATCCATCAATCTTATCGACAGCCTTTCTCCTTTTACGCTGCACCTTTACCAAGGATGATGCCTTCTCCGTGGACTTTTCTCTACTGATGACATGCCCAAAGTGGTCAGACCTAGTGTCCTGGCCTCTAAGGCGCATTCTGACTCCACTTCTTCAAAAACAGATTTGTTTGTTTTTTGCCATTCTAAGTTTACTTAGAGCCTTGCTATTCTTGAGAGTCTTGCCCTGCGGTATAAATAAAATGAAAAAGCGAAAGCAAGATGCAAGAAAGGAAGGCTCCCGAACACCAGTTTAGTATTCCCACCTTCCTAATTTGAGACTGCTGCTCATAATTTCTCTATGGGCAACGACAGTGAAAATATTGCCGTGAAAGATGTTAATCAAGGCGAGGACGTTTGCTAAAGACAAAATTATGTGATCTCACTGGTATGCCCCTTCAACCAAGAAAGCACTGATTTTTAAAAAGATGTTAAAGGCATGTAAGCATCGTTGGGACAGAAAGACAATTATTATGCTGGGTTACTAGAAGCAAATGGTGATAGTTGCTTTTAAATTACTGGTGGAATAATGAGAAAAGATCAATATGCTTTTATTCCTATTTGTAAATTTACACAAATGGCAGATTTTTATACTTATTGTGGATGTAATTCACACATTTATAAATATACACATGCATAAAATATGGCCATGTAAGAAATACCACAACCAACCCCACTACCATGGAATTGAATAGGCTTACTAAGCCTTTAATTTTTACAGGCGCATATAACCTCATCTTTTTCCATTAAAGCAGCTGGTGGATTCAAAGTACTGATCTTACATTAAGCAGCTCAGCTTGTAACCCATGGCCTCACTTTTAATGGTAAAACCTACTCATGTTGGTATGACTACAGGAACATATATATTAAATAACAAAGCAATTATTATGACTATGGTGTTTAAAACTTTTAAAAGGTCTTAATTATTGTGGTGAAGATGAAAACCACATAAATAAACAGTAACAATTTATAAGTTGCAGTAAAACTGAATGTTGATAAGTAAAAATATTTAGTATTAATATTTTACTTATTAACTTTCAATTATACTGCAACTTAAAATTGTTACTGTTTATGTAAATATTTATTCTTAAATTGCAATTTAGTTAAATTAGTTTAGTGCACTAAGCTAGAATCAATTCTCTTTAATAGACCTAATTTCAAAATTTTCTTTTCACAAAAAATGAACTGAGGAGCCAAGTCATTGTGTTGCACAGACTAGAACTTATCTACCTGTAGGGAGGAGTCCCTGGATGGTGCAAATGGCTAACACATTAAGCAACTAGCTGAAAATTTGGAGTCAAGTTCTCCCAATGGTGCCTTAAGAGAAAGGCCTGCTGAACTACTTCTGAAAAATCAGCCACTGAAACCCCAGTGGAGCTCAGTGCTACCCTGACATAGGGTCTTCAAGAGACATAGCTGACTCACAGGCAACCTTTTGTTTGTTTATTTGTTTTAGCTTTAGGTAACCCCAATCAATGAAACACATCTGTTAAGGGAAGATCACTCGTGTCACAAATTGGTTCACCTATCTCAAAGTGTTCGTTTCAATATTCCTTAAATGCTGCCCTGTCTTATTTAACATACGATCTGCTATATAAACATCAGATTGCCATAGTTTTCAAAGATACCTAATACATAAAGTTGAAATTCTACTTTTGAGAGCTAATATAATTTACCACAGGATTTGGACAAATTTATTAAAGTAGAAAAGAATACATGGATTCCTATGAAATAAGGAGCAATTGCTAAGTAGGATAAATTAATAAATAGAGGTCGCACTTATATAAAATACGTTTTGACATGCAGGAGAGACAAAAATATATAAAGCATGGTTTCTCCACATTATTTACTCCAAAATTTGTCTATAAGAAGTAGATGTTATGAAAAGGCCTCAAACCCAATGGCCAGTTACTGTGGCTTAGGAGTATGGCTTAGCACATTCTGAGTATTATATTCTAAATAGTCTTAGACAAAGTTTTAAAAAAGAAAGTGAAATAAGAACAGAGTTTAATGCTTAAATGTCAGACTTGGACCTAGTGTCATTTGTCATAAAGCAAAGGACAAAGGGAATTCGGATTCTGTATGTGGCAATAAAAGATGAACATTTAGCTTTAGTATGGCCCTTTCTTACTTTAATTTGATAACAAAACTTACTAATGGCCATATTCACCTTAGGAGACCTGGTGGCAAATTCTTCATGATACACATTGCTTGAGATTCTTTGGAGATAGTATGATGCAATATAGAAGATATTGTAAGTGTACAGTTCTAGTCACAGTGCCTATCAGACCATACTTGACCTTGATAACATAATCCTCTCTTCCATGGCACCATATTTCTAAATTGTAAAGTATAGGGTAGACTTAAGGTTACTTTTTTTTCCCATTTTAGGAAATAAAACCTTAGGGATAAAAAATAAGCATGATTTTTTAAATAAGCATAGCTTGAGAAGTAGTTAAAAGCAATTATGTCTAATGTTACTTCAAGTGTTGTAAACACCTTTACAAACAGAATTTAAGTAAAACTAGAAAACAAAGAAATGTATGTCAAGTCTCAACAGAAGAATTCCCATAAAAAGTATTTGCTTCTATACCTTTAAAGCAAATTAAAAAAAACTTGAAATAGAGAAGTAAAATGTGTTGTCCAAAGATGGTGTGTTGTGAACTTATTTGTACCTGTAAAAGTGCATTAGAAAGTTCTACGGGCAACACTAAGAGGAAATAGATAACTGATAGATAGATAGATAGATAGATAGATTTATACATACATTTATGCCCTGCATACTATGTCCCTCTGGCAACATCTAACTGCATATATATCTGTTTTTCTAGCCCCTTAAAATCTATTCTATTAAACACTTGAATTACATGCAATGGCTCATAATTACAAATGGTTCTTTCTTTTTTTATGCTCATCAAAATGATTGTTCTCACTATTGTTATGTTAAAGTACTTCAGCTTATCTGGAAGCATTTAAAGTTTCTTTTTTGTTTTTTAAATGAATAGAAGTGTATCCTATATACTATTTATACTAAGAAGAAACCTTTGACATACTAACATTCAAGATTTCCTAACTCTATCATGTACAAGAGGGTACCTAAAAAACTTAGAAGAAAGCTCCACTGATCAGAGCTTTCATAGTAAGCATTCTTCTCACTAGTGGGGCATCCAGCAACTCGCTCTGAGCTAGTGCACCCAGTAACCTTGCCTGGAAAAGTTATCTTTGGTCACCGTGAATTTTTTTTTTTAATCAATTTATTGGGGCTCATACAATTCATCACAATACATAGATCAATTGTGTAAAGCACATCTATACATTTGTTGCCCTCATTATTCCCAAAATTCGCTTGCCTCTTGGGTTCCCAGAATCAGCTCATTTTCCTTTTTTCCCCTCCCCCTCCCTTCCTCCTCTGCTCTCCCCCATGCACCCTTGATAATTTATAAATTATTATTGTATCTTATATTACACTGCCCGGTGTCACCGTGAATTTTTGCATAAGAGAAGTTTTGCTTAACCTTATTTTTTTGTGATGGCTGACTTAAGAAAACAGTGTACAGCTGTGAAATTTTGTTTTCTGCTTGGGAAAAATGTTGCAGAACTGTTGTGCTGTTGAACACAGCTTACAAAGAGAGTGCTATAGGAAAAAACTCAAGTGCTCAAGTGATTTTCTTGTTTCAAAGAAAGTGAAATGTCAACTGATGCCAAACCTAAATGTTGACAAAATTGGTGTATTTGTGCTTAAAGACTGGCGATGGACCAATGAAGAGATGGGGAAGATATCTGGTATCTTGGAGCTTGGTTGAGTGAATTTCCAGGAAGATTTGAGGATGAGACGGGTCACTGAAAAAATTGTGCCTCAGGTTCTGACTGACCAGGAAAAAGAGCATTGAGTGGAAACATGCCATGCTTTTGAAGAACAGCTCTGAATTGATCCAGACTTTTTTTTCCCAAGAGACATGGTGCTAATTTGTATAGATATAGATATAGATGTGAGGGGGCTAGTGCATTCAGAATTCTTTCCACCAGGTCAGACTGTTAATCAAGCTTTCTATTTATATGTTCTGAAACAATTGCATTACAGTGTGAGACAAAAAAGGCCTTATTTGTGGCAAATGATAAGTAAAAGCAGTGAAGAAAAAAATGAGGGAGGTGCTGCCAGCCAACCAAACAGATGAGTTTGAAATTTTATGCCATGAATGGAATTGCAGATTTGAAAAATGTAGTAAGTGTAATGGAGAGTACTTTGAAGGTGATAAGGTTTTTTAAAAATTAAATACATAGCTTTGAAACAATTTCCACTTTATTTTGAGTTCCCCTCAAATGTACAAATTTGACTTAGAGACAGACTTAGCGATGGAATTAATCCTTAACCCAGAGAATGTCAACTCATATAATGTCCTGTTTCACACAATTGATTGTGGATGTTAAGTGAGTGTATATATGTATGTATATATATGAAAAATAAGAAGAATGAGCAATAGAGGTTTGTTTTAAGGGCTTTGTTCACAAGATTGTGAGGACTGTCAACACCGAGGCCTTTAGAAGCAGGCACTAGAAACTCCAACAAACTAAGTGTGACATCTTGGTGACCAGGGGAGGAACTAGAAACTCTGATGGGATGCCTCTGTGATATAATTTTGAGGCAGGTTCCTTTCTTCTCAGGAAACCTGTCTTCATCCCTAACATCTACAAAGGATCACATATGACCACTCAGACTGTGAAGGCTAATCTGCTTTACTTAAAGTCCACTGATTCAAATGTTAATCCATGTAAAGATCTTCATAGCAACATTTAGAATAGTATTTGATTTTTTTTTAAGTGGGCACTAGCCTAGCGTAGTTAAAATAAAATTAACTATCAAAAATTTTCTATGTGTTTAAAACCTTGTCGGTGATTCACCCTCTGATGCATGTTAGACCTAATATGGTTTTCAACATTTTCTCTGGATTTTTACTTTTTGTTTCTGTAGATTGGGGTTTATCTGAGATGTGTTATGTCATTGGTAGTCACCCTCTTGAATTTTTGTTACATATTTTTCAGTATAGGAAACCAGGATTGATGAACAGCAAGTAGAGGGGCAGCAAGTAGAATAAGGGTTTCTGGGGAGCACAGTGGCGGTGGTGCTGGAGGGGGGCAGTGGTGAGGGGAAGTAAAGGGGAGCTGATATCAAGGAGTTCAGGAAGGAAAAGAATGTTTTGAAACTGACTGTCGTAGCAATTGTACAATACTGCTTGATGTGATTGACCTACAGAATGATATGATATCTGTATTAAATGGTTTTGAAAATAAAAAAGTTCTAGGGAAATCCCTTAGTAATGAGTAATTTCAACTCAGAACAAAGATTTTATTGAGTGGAAATGAAATAAAGACATCAAAACATTATTTCTTCATTGGAGCCACTATCTTTCAATATCATAGAGGATTTGTGACATATCTCCATTTGCCACCATCATCAGAGTTAGCTCTTTCTTTAATTTAGTCTGGTCTATCTTAGTCATGAAAACCAAGGATGGGAGCCTCCAGGATGGATTCCAACTCAATGTAAAGAAACAAAAATGTTTACAACTAGAATAATAGACATTATGACAAAGAAAAGATTGGAGTTGTCAAGTATTTCCTTTTACTTAGATTTATAATCAATGCTCAAAGGAGCAGTAGTCAAGAAACCAAACAACTTGATTGGCCCTGAGCAAATCTGCTGCAAACAGAGCTAGTTAAATATTTAAAGAGCAAGGTTATCACTTTAAAGGCCAAAGTGAGTCTGCCCTGCTTACAGCCATGCTATTTTCAATTGCCTCATGTGGATGGGACAGTTGGACAATGAATAAGAAGAAAGGGGGAAATATGATGCTTTTGAGTAATAGTGTTGGAGAAGAATGTTTGGACTACCAGAAGAACAAACATTTGTCTTGGAAGATGCACAATCAAAATGCTACTTAGAAGCAATGTGAAGATTTGGTCTTAGATATTTGAGATATGTTATTAGCCTTGAGTGCTACTATGATGCTGAAAAAATTTTAGCAGAATTTCCAAATTAAGATTGAATAGGAAAAGCCTGGAAATCTAATCCCATAACAAACAAATAAAAACCCTATACTCACAAAAGCCTTATCCCAATGTACATAAGTTCAATACAGGTCAGGGCTGATGTGGCAGCAAATAACAATAATGAATTATGAAAAATAATCGATTCTTAGATCCTTTCTAAAGGTTCAATGAGGGGACCATAAATACATTGTGGTAGTTACATGATCTGGTGTCAGTTTTAGGATTCAGAGTGAAAAGATGGATGGAGTCTAGCCTGTCAACCAAGTCATACCCAATGAGGCCTTTGTGTGGTCATGGCCTACTCCTGAAGATTCTGGGAACTCCTGTATTCCTCTCTGGAGGGGGGAGACACACACTCTCTCTGCTCAGTCTCTGCAAGAAATTCTTGTTGACAAGCCACGTGGAGACAGGCTGTTGGCAACCAGAGCATCAAAGCTGGAGAAACCACATGGAGACCCCTACCAGCACTGGGACGACTCTACCGCCACTGGATCCACAAGACTTTTCACCCACTGGCCTGTGATCTTCCAGCATTCGGCATCATTGCTTGTGTTGTGTGACTCTGAAGAGGGATTTATAGATTGGTCCTGGGTATATGGGCTAATATCAGACTTATGGGCTTGGACTGGACTGGGCTAGGGTGCTTTCTCAATGTACAATTGCTCTTGTATGTAAAGTTCTTTCTTATAGACATACAAGTGTCTATGAATTTGTTTCTCTAGTCAACCCAGACTAACACATACATACTTATAGCAAGTGCTTCATGTTGAATTTGTAACAAGGCCTACTTTAAAAATCCATTGAAATATATGAACATACACAGGCAGCAAATGACCATAACCTCAAGGCATCATATTATGGGCACATAACTAAGAATAGTGAATGATGTAACCCAGCAAAAGGTCATGCTATTTTTCAGGATTCATTATGTTTCCTGTAGTACTGTGACATCCATATGATTAGAACAGTCATTTAAAGCATACTTCCTAGTATGCTTTATATGAAATAACTCTTAGGTATGCAAATCCATCAGTAACATATGTATGGCAATTGCTTGAATTGCTTAATGTTGTTTCTCCATTTATTTAAACATATTAATTAGATCAAAGCTCACACTAGGAGTCGAGCCTATGATCTACATGCATAGTTTGAAAATCATTGTACCAAAGTGATTAGAATGATTATAAGGATACTGTGAAAAATCCATTTGCTGCAGCTAAACCAACAACTTTGAATTTGTCTTGAAAAACAATTACCAACCTTAATTAAGAGCATGTAATGATGACAGCA